AATGAAATCGGTCCCGTTGTGGGTAGATGTTGTTGAAGACAGGCTAATAATGAACCAGTTATTTGAAATGGGGTTCGTGATGAATGATGATCTGGGAGAGTTGAGCCTGTTGGTAGACGATAAAGTCGGGCCCTGGATACTGGAGTCGGAAATGAGTACGTGGGTTTGGTGTAGCTCAGTTCGGTTTGGTTTGGGCAATGAAGAAATTAGCCTAGCCATGTGTTGCGGACTTGTCTTTGAAAACGGAAAAACCCGGCCCCAAATTATGAAGAATTTGCCGGCCCCATTTGGATGTAATATGTCAAACCCATTCACGGCCCTTTTAATTCTTGGCCCAATAGTTCAAGCCCAAAGGAAATTGTTGGCCAGTCTGCTCGCTTCTTGTACGAAAAATTGAGTGGGATTGGGTAAAAATTCCAAACCTCTTTCAATTCTGGAAGATCATGCCGCCAAGAACAACTGTTGGCGACGGTGGCGGATGAATTGAGTTCCGGTGATAGTGGGAATCGGAGGTCGGCCGCGTTTTTGGTGTATGGAATTTGGATCTCGATCGGCTTCGGAAAGACCGAGGTCGGAAGTGGATGGATTGTCGTCGCCCTTTTACCGGTTTGAGAGGTCTGCAGGCGATGCAGCACAGTCCGGTGTTAAAGGCCCCAATGATTGTGAAGTCGGCTATCGGAGAATACGAAGTCACTTTGGGCGACAAATTCGGAATGCGATGGTGAATCAGAGGTAAGTGCATCTGTTTGGTTAGCCCGCGTGGTGTATCAGAAAATCGAACTTTGCTGCTTCGAAATCTTTTGACCGAGGTCACCCCGGTGGTATGTCGGGAACTCGGACCTCGGCAAAATGAAATAGAGATCGGATAAATTGGACCTCGGTGATGATGTTAGTCGAGCTTGAGGTCGGTAATTCTGCCATAAGTCAGTTAGGGTTCGCGAGGTCGGTCGGTGATGTAGTATGGTCGGTCGCAATTCCGAGGTACGAGCTTGGGCCTTGCCGCTAAGGTCGGTCGCGACGTTTGTAGTCACGTCGGAGAGACGAGGTCGGGCACCGGCAGCAAATCAGAGGTGTCTGTTCGGTCAACCCACGTAGGATGTCGGCAATTCGGGACCTCAGAAAATCGAACCTCGAGCTATGAGGTCCGACTGTTTTAAGGTGAAGTCGATCGAGCTGTGATGCCGGCGAATTTTGAGATCGAAAAAAATGAAGTCGGCCCCCTATAATAACAAGGTCGGAGAAAATTGGCCCCGACGTGGCCCCAACTTTGAGGTCGATACAGTTGCTATAATTTCCGAAGTCAGCCATGAGAGTTAAGTCGGGCCCGGCCGGGTTGTTCAGCTCGATGGTGACGTTTGTGCAGCTGATGAAGAGTTGGGGTATGTGACGGTAACCAAATCTGCAGACTTTGGAGCTCACGGCAGAATTGCTTCATTTGGTACAAGTCGATTCTTACCGGTAGGTCGTCTCAATTGAGGTTGGTGTCTCTTTACTCCGATGGCGTTGTCGTCTATGAGTTTTGCTGCGAGATGTTTTCGGCCGGCTAAAATATTCGCCGTCACTGGGAAATTCTTCCTCTCAGTTTTTTTTTTCTTTTTTTTTTTGCTTGCCGTTTGGGATTTTTTGGAAAAAGGCGGCGACGGGCAACGTGGCCTCTTTCTGTTCAAAGAAAATCGAAATACAATATGGCGGTGGGCCTTTTCTTGGTCAAACGAATTTGTCTTGGTCACACTAATTTTGGAAAACGGCATGGCTATGGGTGACGTGGTCTCGTCCTGTTCAAGAGAATGTCTTCCTCATCTTCATCTGCTGTATCTCTCATTTTCTCTCGCTTGTAGAAATTTGTTTTCAACTTTTTCACCTCCAAAGGAAACTTATGCAGAAAGAGAACATGTATGCAGAATTGCATCTCGTGCATATTTCATGAACTCAAGTAAAATACGGTATTGAACAAAGAATATTGGAATCAAATTTAGAATAATTTTGCTTAACTTGGAGCGATATTTTTGTGGCAGAGACGCGCGATTTTCCGGCGAAAATTGACCCCGAATAAATTACGGGCCCTTCCTCTAGCGCCAAACTGTTGATATGTCATTTTTTATCAACATGGGGGTTCAGGATATTGTGTTTATATGGGATTTTTGTTGAATTTTTGTATGTAATTTGTGTGTAAAAATGAAGAAATCTTAAAGGAAAAAGCAAGAGGAAGAAGAACACAGCCTGTTTCTCGGAGAGAGAGAAAAATAACAATAGCCCCTCAGACTTATCTGTCTGACGTCCATCATTGGGGTTTATATATATATTTTTAGTACGCCCGTTATCATTACAAGCGTATTATTTGTGGGCCCTAAAATAAAACAATTGATATATTACATATCCACGTGTAATATTTTAATAGGCGGGGCCAAAATTGGGTATTAACAGCACCATCGTGTTTTGAAGCAAAATCGTATACGTTTAAAAAAGGCAAGGAAAATAAGAGTAAATAGGGCAAGAACGAAAAAATATTCAACATCTCCGGAAAGACTTGTTTTCGAACACGACACCATTATTTGATGTGGATAACATATTTTTATCGCACCATCATGTTTTGAAGCAAAGTTGTATACGCTTAAAAAAAGTCAAGGAAAATAAGGGTAAATAGGGGCAAGAACGAAAAAATAATCAATGTCTCCGAAAAGACTTATTTTCGAACACGGCACCATTATTTGATGTGGATAATATTTTTTTATCAAATTATCGTGTTTTGAAGCAAAATCGTACACGTTTAAAAAAGTCAAAGGAAAATAAGGGTAAATAGGGGCAAGAACGATAAAATAATCGTCTTCGAAAAGACTTGTTTTCGAACACGGCATCATTATTTGATGTGGATAATATATTTTTATCGCACAATCTTGTTTTGAAGTAAAATCGTACACGTTTAAAAAAGTCAAGGAAAATAATGGTAAATAGGGGCAAGAACGAAAAAATAATCAATGTCTCTGGAAAGATTTGTTTTCGAACACGACACCATTATTGGATGTGAATAACATATCTTTATCTCACCATCGTGTTTTGAAGTAAAATTGTATACGTTTAAAAAAGTCCAGAAAAATAAGGGTAAATAGGGGCAAGAACGAAAAAATAATCAACGTCTCCGGAAAGACTTGTTTTCAAACACAACAACATTATTTGATGTGGAAAACATATTTTTATCGCACCACCGTGTTTTGAAGCAAAATCGAATACGTTTAAAAAAGTCAAGGAAAATAAGGGTAAACAGGGGCAAGAACGAAAAAATATTCAACGTCACCATTATTTGATGTGGATAACATTTCCTTATCGCACCATCGTATTTTGAAGCAAAATCGTGTACGTTTAGAAAAGTGAAGGAAAATAAGGGCAAATAGGGGCAAGAACGAAAAAATAATCAACGTCTCCGGAAAGACTTGTTTTCGAACACAACACCATTATTTGATGTGGATAACATATTTTTATCGCACCATCGTGTTTTGAAGCAAAATCGTGTACGTTTAGAAAAGTGAAGGAAAATAAGGGCAAATAGGGGCAAGAACGAAAAAATAATCAACGTCTCCGGAAAAATTAGTTTTCGAACACGACACCATTATTTGATGTGGATAACATATCTTTATCGCACCATCGTGTTTTGAAGAAAAATCGTATACGTTTAAAAAAGTCAAGGAAAATACGGTAAATAGGGAAAAACACGAAAAAATAATCAACGTTTGCGGAAAGAATAGTTTTCGAACACGACACCATTATTTGATGTGATTAACATATCTTTATCACACCATCGTGTTTTGAAGCAAAATCGTATATGTTTAAAAAAATCAAAGAAAATACGGGTAAATAGGGCCAAGAAAGAAAAAAAAAATCAACGTCTGCGGAAAGACTTATTTCGAATACGGCACATTATTTGATGTGGATAACATATCTTTATCGCACCATCGTGTTTGGAATCAAAATCGTATACATTTAAAAATGTCAAGAAAAATAAGGGTAAATAGGGGCAAGAATAAAAATTTAATCAACGTCTCCGGAAAGACTTGTTTTCGAACACGACACCATTATTTGATGTGGATAACATATTTTTATCGCACCATCGTGTTTTGAAGCAAAATCGTATACGTATACAAAAGTCAAGAAAAATAAGGGTAAATAAGGAAAATAAGGATAAATAGGGGCGAGAACGAAAAAAATAATCAACTTCTCCGGAAAGACTTATTTTCGAACACGACATCATTAGTTGATGTGGATAACTTATTTTTAGCGCACCATTACTTTGCATAATTGGCATGTAGAAACTATTAGTTTTGCTATAAAATCAACAGTTGACTCCATAGTGAAGCTAACCTTGTATATACACCAAGTAAATCATATCATATTCGCGGATTAATTAAATAAATATTATAATTTTATTAATATGATATGATTTACTTGTTGTATATAGAAGGTTGACTCCATTATAGAACCAATTGTTGGGTTCATACCAAAACTGCAGAAACTATATTGAAACTATATTGTATGAATATGTGTACTTTAGCCATTTTTCATACTCCAATAGCTAGTTCAATTGTTTGTGTTTTATAAAGAAATTAAAATGGTGCATAGAGAAGATAATGTTCACACACTAACACATAAATTGAGTTTTCCTTGATACCAGAAAAGCAGTGTTTTTCTTCATAGTAAACTTGATAAATTAGTGTCTCGACAAAAGCATTTTGCTTTATTTTTTATTTTATTTTATTTTTTAATTGCGTACCAACCTATTATTACAAAAAGCTTGTAAGGTTTAACTAAAAAATAGTCTGAATCAGATAATCACTGCAACATTTCAAACCAACGCATGAAAATCTAAATCAACGCACGAAGCCATTTAGACCATATAAATCAGTACAAGATTAGGCCCCATGAATTTAAATTAAATTCCACCAAAAGGAGTCCCTTATTCTGGAGAGCAGCAAACCTTGCAGAGGAGTCCAGCTTCACTTTTCTAGTCTCTAATCCGCTTTCTTTTCTTTCTTTGCAGTTTGGTTTTGGTACATAACAATTTGACTTAGGATAGTACCATTTGTGATTATGCCAATCACCGAGCCCACAACCACTGAAAAGAAAATCACGGACGTACTTTGACGAAAATGAAAATAAGAGAACCTTACAAGACATTAGATTACAAGAGCACAAACAGTCTTATCAATCAAAGATTTAAAACTCCCATATAATTACTAAGCACGGTTAAAAACATCCCATTAATACAAATGAAGACTAGATGACAAGCCCAGAGGTATCTATAAAAAAAATATCATTTGTTTACACACAAAACATTTATTGCACAGATATACTCTACCCAAAGGATAGTGATAGCACTACTTATAACATAATCTGTGTGGTCAATAAAGGTTATGCTTTCAGCATCCTAAAGCTATAGAGATATTAATTTTACTCCAAATTGCATACATATTAGATCATGACAGGATTCAGGAAGCAATTTCATGATGGACAAATACTTTTGATGGAGCTGCAGCATATAGACTTAAGGACATAGGTAATGTAATTGTCACAGGACAATCTGTTGAAGCCTTAAGTGGTTCATGGATCCAGCAGGCTTCCCAAGGGTGGGGATTAACTGAACCATAGAGGTCCACTGTGTGTCACAGCCATTAGACCTAATGAGGTCAGATTCAAGGTCGGACCCCACCCGCGGTCATCACTAAGGCACTACTTAATGATGAACTCTTCATCGAAAGCATTAACACCACAAGTTTGTTTTAAGTCTTAATGATGAGATACATAAACCAAAATAGAGTTCCGCAAATGACATAAGGATATGAGTGCCCGATAGTTGACACTATATATGAGACATTGTAAATGAATTCAGAAAAACATAGATAAGTATTACCGCTCGTTGGTGCCTTTTCCTGGAGGCTTGTGAAAACTCTCACTGGCAAATAAGAAATGTTAAACTTTAGAAGATCAATAGGCAAGCTGCATACGCCAACATAAGATAGCATATAAACTTACCCATGGAACCACCAAAATTCATGAACGAAGTTATAAAGCTAAGCTCTCCCGTACTTTTGTTCTGCTCAAACAAACATTAATATCATTGAAGTAGAGAAATACAATGTACCATGTTTCGCGACAATACATAGTTGTGCCATAATATAATCTGGTTTTGACCTTGGATAACATATTTTATAGTTCTCAAACTTGTACCGAAGTGTATTGTTTGAGTGTCTGTGCTAGCGTGCTTGATGACTGATCTGTACTTTTGTGGAAACCTATTTTTTCCTCAGTAGTATAAAATTTTCAATTGCACATACTGAACTAATATAAGTTCCCACGTTTGGAAAAAAATAAAAAAAAATAAAATAAAAAAATAATAAAAAATAAGTTCCCACGTTTGGTCACTCTAACACTCATGCAAAGATAGATCTTCAGCCGCACAAAATACACAGGCTCACTCATTGAGCTAGCAAAAGAAATGTAATTATGATAACCAACATATAAGAACATCAACTAAATTAAACTGCAATCCTTACTTTAAAATTTGCCCAAATTTGTGGAATCCTTGCACAGAAAAAAACCGCATGCTGGGAAACCTGTAGATATCATTTTAAATAGAGCCTCAGGCACTTAAGAAAAGAATCAATGAGCAATGATTGAATTGTTCCGACAAATATATCTACGGAAGTTAGTCGGGGATTGGGGTTGGTTGGCAAAGAGATAAGAGAACAAAAATGATGGAATAAAGGCAAAGCATCTAAGAAATCTATTAACTCACATATAGAGCTTCAAAAAGAAGGGGATCAATTTGACCAGCTAAGACTGTTGGTGCTAGAGCACAATATCTATGTTAACTTGTTTAGGAAACCGCAAACTTCAAATCCAAGATGCAACTGATGTTTTAAAAGGAGAAAATAATAAATTTGCAAATTTTTATACAGATTGCATGCTCCAATATGTGCTTGCTCAAGACAAGGCAATGGTACACAAAATATCATGCTCAAAGGATACAGTAAAGCTCTGATCCATGTCTTAGTTCCAAGGGGTTGAGAATAATAGTAGATGATTGCTACAAGAATTATTGCTGCAACAATAAGAGGAACAGTGTATTAGAGAAATTAATTTGACAGATATCTCAATCGAAGCAACTTAAAGCCTAAATACTGTTTTTCACAAGAAACATTTTCCAGCTTATATTTCTAAACTTTATTCGGAACTAAACAGTGGCCAACATTTTTTTCATTTCTTTATCGGATATTGTAAAACCTCTTGTGCCTTATTACCTTCTACTTTGATCTTCTTGCCCCTCAGAAAATATAAAATAAGATGATCACAACGCAACAATGCATACCCTGAATCAAAAGGAAAGCCAACTCTCCATATGCTGAAAAAGGAAGGCCTTTGTGAAGACAATAGGCCAAAGCAATGGTATACCCAACAACCTCCAATTCAAAGGCTAAGACACTAAGCCCTCTGATACTTCCATTCTTTAAAATTTTTAATATCTGAAGAAGAAATCACGAAAAATATTTTTAGCAGATCTAGTAGTTTGGAAGATCAAAAGATTGAAAGAAAACATTGTGAACTTTTAAACTTTATGATTATACGGCATATCACACTTCTTACACGTTATGGACACAAAAGAACAACTATGAACTATTCACGCCAATGTCAATTTTACTGCCATTCTTTTCTACATGCACTTGTTTCCCCATATCTTTGTTCTCTGTTCCACACTTTGTTACACTTAATTCTCATACATGATTATCCAATGGAGATTACTGTTAACATATTTGCAGGAGCTCTGATATGTAGAGTAAGATAATGGTTCTAAGTTAACTTGTAGGCTGCAAAGGATCTCTGTGATATTATTGTAACATACTTGAGCATTATAACAGACGACCAAGGGTTTCTGAAAATATCTTTAATCACATAAAGAAAACTATAAAGCCTACAGCAAACACAGGTCGACACACAAAGGCATTTGGACGTCCAAGATCTCATTGTTAATTTAAGCTAAAGAAGAAAAGAGCAGAGGGAAAGCTTGATCATAAAAAAATGGATGTTTGCTGACTATAAATCTGAAACAAGTTTTCAGAAGCCATAATACTTCCCAGCAGATATTAATTCTTCCTGCAAGAGTAAAGAAGCCATTTACAATGAAACTGCTCCCTTAAAATATTAGTGGCCACCATATATTATATTAAACCATTACAACCACCAAAAGTAATAACAAATTGAGGAAGCAGCATGTAAATAGTATTCATGTCATCTATCAAGATAATCATTAATCTTTCTAAAATCAAGATAATACTGATGTGCCTTAATCAGTAGTGTTCTAGAAATCAGGCTATGCATTGTCTAGGCACTCGAGTGCCAAAACACGAAAGGTTTCATGTTTCTTAACCATGTGCATAGAAACTGTAAACCATGGCCAAATCCATCCATCATAGCGCATATATCACATACAAATGTTATTGTTAGGCAGCCTAACCATTAGACATTAGAAAATGAAAGCATGGAAATTTGTTGAACATATGATGGCTGAAGCTCACTCCATGTGAAGTAGCAAGATTACATTCTATGCCAAACCTCAAGTCCGTGAAAAACACAACGTTAATGTTTCGTTTCCCCGACCAGAATTCAACTTATGGCCGCATGGACGGCAAGAACATAACATAGTCAACTATCTACTTCAACACCCAAACTGCCTCTTAACAAAATTACCAGTATAAGGAGTGATCACGAAAGAAAAAAATGAATTCAATGAACTCATTCACTCAAATGATGGTGCATCAAGATTCTTTCTTCTTCCTTTCCATCACAAATCAAGAACATGTCGGAATCAAAAGCGATCGATAGATACCAAAAAAAANNNNAAAACAAAAGAAAAAAAACGAATCGAAATGAATTTAGGAATAAGAAACGACATAGAATAGAATCGGATCTTGATAAGGTAGAAACGTACGAAAGACTATTTACCTGCGGAAGTTTGACTATGGTGGACGCAGTTACGATGCAGTAACCCAAAAGCTTTGATATTAAGGGAAGTAAGCAATCTTTTTCTGGGATTTCACTACTGCGTAGAGAGCCTAGAACACAGCTAAAATCCATTCCAACAAACTTCATCTCTACCATTTTCTGTTTTCTTTGTTTTTTCCCTCTTTCAATTTTGACGAGGCCCTGGTTATTAGTTCAGTTAGGTCTTTTTGCTTGCTTTTAGCTTTTTAGTCACCGCAACTTACTAGTTTTACCTACTACTTTTACCCAGAAGACTATTTTTATCCCAAATTGCTTTTTTTTTTTTTTGCCCCTAACGTAATAGGACTCACTTCTTACCAAAATTCACACCTTCACCAATCTCCTTCTTCTTCACTTTTACTAAAAAATTCACATCTCCATCAATTTCCATCTTCCACTTCATTAAAAATTTACTCATCAATCTCTACATTATTTTTCATTAATCCACATGTCTAGTAGTAATAAAGATGGAGTTCACTCGTATGGAATGGTTTTCTCTCGTGTGAGAGCTTCGTTCTCTTGAGGGTAAAGAGGTTTCTTCGGACCTTATTTTCAGAATAGGGTCTGGGTCGAGTGCGAGAGTTTGGTGAGGGTTTTGTGATATTTCTGCGAAGAGAATAGGGTTTCAATTTACGAAGAGTATGAATCCAAATGGTGAAGAATCCAGTGAGGCAGATGAAGATTTTGAGCAGAGGTTACGGGAGTTCTTCCTGCCGATAAAGGAGAACCAATTGATTGACATTGAAGAGAAGGATGTGTGATCTAGCACGGATGGATGTAATAGATGCTTGTTTGGGAAGGTAACTGGTGATCGAAAAGCAAACTGGTTGGGCATCAAGAGAGTAATGAGTCAGACTCGAATGTGGGGAACAATTTCGAGGTCAGAGAACTCAGGCCAAACATTTTCCAATTCATCTTTATCGAGGTTAGAGAACTCGAGTCAAACTTTTTCCAATTCATCTTTATCAATAGAACGGAAGTTATAAAGGTCAATCTAGAGAAAAATTGGATCTTTGGTAATCAGTACTTGGTTTTGCAAGAATGGGGGAATGGTATCAGCAGGGTACACTCAGGCTTTGAGGAATTAAAGATCTTGGTTCAAGTTCATAATGTTCCTATTCATTGGCTGAGTTCAGAGGTAGGGTTAAAAGTGGGCAAAGTCTTTAAGAGAATTAAGAATGTCAATATAGCCAGAGAAGGAGGCCAAGGACGAAGAATGATTCGACTTCTCAACAATCAATTTGATGGAACCCTTGCCTAGATGGATAAAAATTAGATTGGGAGATAAAATAGTCACAGTGTGCTTCAGATATGAAAAGCTGGTGAACATACGTTTTTATTGTGGTAGAATATGCCACCTGGATAGGAGTTGTTCAAAGAGGTCAGATGATATTGGCAAAAAAGAGTTAAAGGAAGGAGAATATGGGGACTGGATAAAGTAAAAGAATGAGGCACTTGGAGTAATTCTTCAGGACAGAGCAGTCAATCTGATCAAGAGGGGAACCAAAATCACCCAGCACTCAAAGAGGAATACTAAGGCTCAAACTGAGAAGGGGGATAATGCAGGCATCTCCAAAGTAAACCTTCAGAAGGAGTTATCTTCAATACCAGCACAAAGTCTGTGTCTGGTAGAGCCTGCAGAATCAATAAGGCAATGAGAAGGTAAAGATAATATTGAGGGGGAAGGGGGTAGACATGGTCACGGGCCGAACCGGCCCGTGGCCCGACCCGCGAACCGGCGCCAACCCGGCCCGGCCCGATCCAGCCTGGAATCGGCCTCCTGAGGGTCGGTTCGTTGAACCAGAACCGTAGGGCCACAGTTCGGTCCCCAGTTCAATTTTTTTATTTTTGTCCCGTCGAGCCAGGCCGGGCCGGGCCAAATTCTTTGTTTTTCTTAAGGGTTGTTCCGGCTCGTGAACCGTCGGGCCGGTGAACGGCAGTTCGGGCCGGTTCTATGAACCGGCCCTTGGTTCTTAGCGGGCCGGTCGCGGTCTGGGTGTTGGAGAGCCCGTGGTGGGCCGGGCCGGGCCGAGCCTTGTCCCGGCACCTGGTCACGTCTACCGACCCGGTTTCCCCTTGTGCGTGTGTTAGGGTGGCTTGGAGAGAATGAAATCAAACCCTACATTATATATTTACAAGATTACTTCTCCCTCAGCAATTAAAAACACCCGCAGCCTCTCCATCTTTTTTTTCTCTCGTTAATCACCTCAACGCTCATCTGCTCTCCTTTCCCTCTCGTCAATTTGCGAAGTGTTAAAAAAAAAGAATAATATAAAAAGAGAAGGTGGAAAACCTGCTCCTCACCATCATCACCGCTTTGCTGCCAGCGTAAGGCCCGACGAGAATCCATCATGACCCACGCGAGGAGGTTTAGGCCATCGTCGTTCATCCCGCTATGCTCCTCCGTGAACCACCGCCATCAGGCCCTGCTGCACCTCTAATTGCAGCAGAACACCTTCGTGAGTCCAGGTTCGCAGCACCGGTACTTATTCCCCTCCGTCGTCCATCGCCGATCCATCAGCGATTGCTTCCGGCGTCTTCCCGGACCATCGTCCATCGCAAGCCCCGGCGTACCCCCGTTTCTCCTCCGTGAACAATCGCAGCACCTTCGAGGAGTTTCGGCTGCCGTTTGAGTCCCGTTGTTCAGCCGCAGTCGATCGAGCCACCCCGGACAACAACCGCGAGCCTAAGCGAGGCCCCGTTAGCATCCGTTTAAGCCCCGTTCACGCTGTTCGTGCATCCCACGTGCTCAACAGCTGACCCTTGTTGTTGTCCTGAGACTTGTGTCCCGTCGGCGAGCCAAACGTAGTTGTCGAGCCCTCTCGTACGGTTCGTTTTAGCTCCGGCTTGACCCTCTTTCGTGACCCCGTCCCGAGAACGGTACCCGGGCTGACCTTCGATTATTATTATGTACTTATATTTGTATTTATGTGTATTATTTGGTGATTAATTGATGCCTTAGTATTATTTGTACATGTTAGAAGTGACAGCTTGTTGAAAGATCTCATGTGAATTTAC